GACGTGAACAGGAGACGTTCAGAAATAGAATCGGGACTAGGTCTCTAATTAGTCTGGAAACGGGGGACCTAATTCTTGCATTCTGTGAAAACGGGTAAGATTGGCTATAATGTAATTATCTTAATCTTCACTATCGTTACTTTTTAAAAACCCAGCGAAGCGGGTCCTTGCAGCTAGTTATAAATATGAATATAGAAAAAATACTATACTATATTATTATTTATTTAAGCCAGTAATTTCCACAACATAATAACACTGTGATTCCAATTTACTAATACCGTCTCTACGTGAATTCGATGCAACGAACTGCTTTGTTTTATCCCTCTTCCCGGTTTATGAGACGAAATAAGATGTCGACTGATGTTTACGAAAATAGAATAATCTAATCACCACAAGAGTTGAATATTTTATTCTGGTTAGATTGCTCGTAGATTCCAGTATTCATTTTCTTTGTTTCATTACATTATGTAATTGTTCATTAGGAGGTAGTGCCTGCCATTCTAATGCTCCTGTGCAGATTAGTTAACTTTACATTTAAAACCTGTTGGTAATTATAATTTTGTTAATTAAAAAGTAACTTATTTTAATCTGTTTTATTTGTTTTATTCTTGTTTATTGTCTTATTTTCTTATCATTAAATAAAGAAATATCTGTTAAGTGTTTACTTCTATATGATATTCGTTTCACTCATTTCATATTAGTTACATCGGCGAATATCTAATTAACACTTGCATTTATTTTTATTTTACTGGTTGACAGGTAACTTTGTAGAATTTTCATGTTATTTGAGAAACATAAATAGCTAGATTATGCCAAAACGAGGTATAGATTTGGATCGTAAAAAAAGAACATTAAAGCTCGTTCTTGTTTATATGTTTTCGATTTACGAGAGGTTTTCACGAACTATGTAAGCTCGTAAATTGAGGTTACACTGTATATATGTATTAAATTTAACACCTAAAGAAATTTTGTGATTTTGAAGGTTTTTAATCATCGCTCTTAGTTAATTAACATATATACTGATTAAAAATATAAAGACTTTTTTCAGTATTTATTTTAAATATTTGGTCTATAAGAGCTTAGCATAACAGAGTGATTATGAAAATGAAATTTATTATTATTAATAAGCTAACATATTGAAAATTTACTGAATTGAAATCAAATGTAAGTGAAAGAAAAATAATATGATCGATAGTATAATAATTCTTATATCGATTTTTTTATTTATATTCTGTGGAATATATTCGAGAAATTATAATTGCAATACGCAATTTTAGGAAGAAAAATACTGTTTTCTCTTTGTTATTTCTGTGTCATTTAAAGAAAAAGCTTATGTTTTACAGAATAAATAATTTTTTATTTTATACTTCATACAATGTAGAATATTAGACAATACACTTTAAACAACATTATATAGATATAGCTTAATAAATTTTATTTCCATAGTACTCATTTAATGAACTAAACTATATGTTTTCATTGTGGAATGATTAACATAAATTTAGAAGTGAATTTATCATGCAAAATATTGATATTAAATTCATTACATTAATTTAGATGCTTTATCTTCTTTTTTTATTTTAGTTACATATTTTTCCACGAATAATACAAAAAATGAAAGAATGTACCCTGTTAGAAGAATAGAAAATGCTCCAGCAGTATCTCGCAGATTTAAAGAATGATTTATGTCATATATTATATTTTTATTGATTTCTGTTTTTATTGTCACTTTTTCCAATTCGTCGGTTAAGAACTTTGTATAAATTCCAGCTTCTAAACAATATAATAACCTGAAATAAAAGAAGAGATCGGTTAACTTTGATAACATTTGCTCTAAAGTTAAGTAATATTTGTTAATATCATACATTTTATTGACTTTTTCTTTGTAAAGAAAACCTTTTCTCATGCCCCATATTTGAATAGAAAAAAATAGATTATCCTTTGACATAACAAAATTATTCAGTCCCATTTTTTCAGCATTTATTTTAATAGCATGGTTAAAATATATAACTGCGTGTTTTCTTTGTAGTGTTCGTTCATATTCATCTAAATTATCGATGTTCAGAGCTATAATCCTTTTTTGTTCTATTTGCTTTTTAAATCGAAGACCAACGCCTTCAGTAGAACTCTAAAATTTAAAATAATTAAATTGAATGTTATTATCTTTAGTAAATATAAAATTTTATTAAATTATACATAACAATTACCTGAATAAAATTATCAATCGCGCTATTTATCATTGTGCTGGCCGTGAAATGCTTATGTTCGATACAGTGAATTAAATCTTCAAAAGTTTCTGGTATGTTTTTATAACCTGGAAAAGTTATGAATGACATCAGCGATGCACCGTAACTAGCAACAAGAATAGCAATAGGAAATATCCATCCAATAACAACAATTCGTGTGCATAACCCAGGCGTCTGTATCAACTCATTTCCTATTTAAAAAGATAATCAGAAATAAGATCAAAATCATATTATAGGCTAATTTCAGAAATGATAAAAATCAGAAATTATAAACTATTATCAATTTATATTAATCAATGTATACATATATTTATTTAAGTAATAAAATATTCATAAAATTTGAAAATCATATTACAACCGAGTCCATTTAACAAGCACCGATTAGGAGAGGGCTCTTCTACGTCCCGATTTTCTTCATTATGTTTTACATTAGTGTGACTCCTGTTAACAGAGCACGGGATAATAGAACAGTCACTGGTGAATCATCGCACAGGCGCAAGAAGCGCGCGTTTGGGCCTCCGATTGTCAAGAGCCTCCGAAAGTTAGCAGCTTCAAAAAGAGACGTTCTGCGAACCTCATGTATAGATACCATATTCATTTAGAGATTTATTTTTAAGGAAACGATTATCTCATCAGTATTTTTAAAATTATGTAATAAATTGATTTGATAGCATTACTTAGTAGGCCTATTTAGAATAAGAAGGCCTCAAAACTAGGTTACGCTGGAGCCCTCCGATTGCGTGATCTGCCACTGAGAGCAGTTCGTTTTAACGAGCGCCTTGTCGGCGACATTTTTCGAGCAGCAGTCCTCATAACGGAACACTATTCTAAGGAAGATTTATAACAGTCTACCCCTAATTTTATGGTATATCATTACCCAGGACACTTAGCTACAGAACTCTCTACACTATGGATGTATTTGTTGAGATTTTGTAAAACATTCCATTGGTCAGTTTTTTAATACGCGAACAGTCAAAATATTTGCGGAATCATAATGAACAGT